CCACAACCATAACTGGCTTTGATGTGGCACTAGTGCTAAAGTGTTGATGATGTACTACAAGAGAGACCAAGATGCCACTTCGGTCTCCAGAGTCCAGTCATCTGCAGAGTGACACATGCCTACTTACAAGAACCTGTCAAGGATCCTTGAAGGGTATGACTGTAGAGCCCCACTATCTGGTCAACACCACAGGTAACCCTCATCCTACTGAAGACTCTGATGTCTCCAACCAGGAGGAAGGGGAAGCTCTACTGCAAGCTGTTCCTGATATGGCTCAGAAAAACACAGGAAGGGCAGGAAGATTTAGTGGGTTCCCACCTCCTTTTGGGATAAGAAATATGAGGTTTACCACCTATTCCCCTGGGAGACTTCCCATGAGACTAACATCTACCAAGTCATGCCGTCCTGGAGACCTTCTCCTCAACACTATACCAGATCATGCCACAGCAGGCCAACTCCATGGTGTTCCATTCAGTCTTGTCCTTGTGACGGGCTGGCTGGTAGTGATTTAGCCCAGGAGTTTTGAAAGAGCAAAAGATGATTGGAGGACTTGGGATTCCCTTTCCTCACCAATCAGGCCCAAGAGACTCACCCTCCATGTCCCCTGATTGGTCCCTTGGGTCACCAGGAGGGGGATAAAAGGGGCAGTGCGGCTGACTCAAGGGAGACCAGCAAGGGACCACAAGGAAGGAGATTCAAAGAGCTGGCAAGAGCTGGGCCAGCGGGGCGGGAGCAGTTGCCCCAGAAGAGCCTGAAGGAGTGGGACCTGCAGGCAGCAGTTGGGCCCTCAGCACCGGGGCATGTGGCCAGCAGGAGAGGCTCCCCAACTCCAGCAAGGATGTGAGCAGTGACTTGAGAGGTTTCCAGCCCTGCTCCCAGCTCCTCCAGTAAGAGGCCAGGCAGTTCAACATGAGGCCGGGGCTCCTGGAAGGTCAAGACCCCTAACAGCTTAAAGCTGTGCCAGTACTGGTGGCTGTGTGGTAGAGTTTTAACCTACCATGTGGGAGATTTGACTTCAAGTCCCAGCTGGGGTGAGTGAGTTAACAAGAAGAAATCCTGCTTACAGTGGAAAGGGGTCATTGTGTTCCCCCCCTTTCTCCCCCTCCAGGTATCTAGGCCCTATATTCCTTGACGTCTTGTATTTTGTGCCTTTTATAGTTCACCAACCAGTATTGTTTGTTCTGCTGTTTGTGTTTTACATTTTGGTTAACCCTGTCTTTTGTCAACTGGATGAATATGTCTGTGATTGTAAGTGTCTAACCTTTATTGAATCCTGCCCCCTCGGGGCATTGTAGTGTCCCCTATACCCCCTGGTTTATACTGGTTATGTTCCCAGTATTGTTCTCTTATTAAAAGGTATATGGTTAAGTCCCCATTGGTGGTCTTGCTCTGCTCTATAGGGGGAGGAGGGTCCCTACACCTCCCACAGCACTTGTGCACCTGCTTTGATCCCTTCAATTGGAGAGGGGGTACCTCTTAGAGTACCACCCAGCTTACATCCTTGTTGGGCACATAGGTATTTGTGATGCAGAGCAGGTAGAACATCTTGGGGAGACACCATTGTAGGGCCTCTGACATGGCCATTGCACAAAGGCTAGCACATGAACTGAAACAGGACAGAGAACAAGCATAGGTGGGGCTTAACTCTCAACCTTGAGCAGTGAACCAGGGATAGGATCTCTTGGCACTACTCGAGCAGGGATTGAAGAGTGAGGAGACATTGTGAGTCATCCAAGGCAGGCTAACTCTGACCTGCTTAGAGAGTATGTCCCAGAGTGCAGGGGGATCAGGCTGTTGAATCACTATATGCAGAGCAGGGCAGCAACCAGGGACTTTTTTTTTAAGTCCCCAAATCAGGTAAGAATCTCCCCCTAACACCCTTTTGGCAACCTCTCCCTTCCCTTCAATGCTCACTGACATGTTCCTCCCTCTACCACTCCCCTTCCTCCCCTACCCACCATTGCTGCTGTCTCTGGCTGCTCTAGGGGCACGGAAAGCTCCAGAGCTGCTCCTGCCCCACTCTATCTGGGCTGCACAGCACGCCAGGCTCAGCTGGGGACAGCAATGGCAGTGGTGGGTAGGTTTTCCTACCTTCCTCAACTTGTTCCCAGGGTAATGGGGAACATCCAGGGGGACCAGGCAGAGAAGAGGAACCCACTGACTGCCCCTGTCCTGAGACCCCTGTCTCAGGCTATGGGCCGACGGGGGAGAGGAGGATCCACGTGGTCAACCAAAGACTACAGCGCTGGTGTCGTCAGGAAGGCTTTGGCTTTCATGACCACAGCCCGCTCTTTGGCGAGAGAGGCAGCGAGCTGCTGGGAAGAGATGGCCTCCACCTCTCTCCCCTAGGGAGGAGGCTCTTCTCACCCAGACTGGCTGACCTGCTCCACCGGGCTTTAAACTAAGCCCGTTGGGGGACAGGGGGACTGCTGGGGGCACTGCTGGCCCGCTGAGCAATCCTTGCAAAGCCAGCAGATCACGGCGCTTCAGGGAGCCCACCCCTGCCCCAGCCCTGCTAAAATCTGTGTGCAAGGAAGGAGCCCCCCAGGGGGCACTTGCCTGCCTGTACACTAATGCCAGGAGCTTGGGGAATAAGCAGGAGGAGCTCATCCTCCTGCTCAGTGCAAACAATTACGATGTCATAGGGATAACAGAGACCTGGTGGGACTCCAAGCCAATATTGGTGACCAGGGTGGACGGCTGGAGACCCTCTGGGTTAAAATCCGTGGGGAACATGGCACAGGGGACACAATGGTGGGAGTCTACTACAGACCTCCCACCCAAAGTCCTGAGCTTGACCAGGAGTTTGCCCAGGAATTGGCTGAGGCCGCATGCTCTAGGACCATGGTTGTCATGGGTGACTTCAATTACCCAGACATCTCATGGGAGGAT